CAGGAATTCCCTGGAGTTGTCAATTCCCAACCAGGAATTCCCTGGAGGTGGCAATTCTCAACCAGGAATGCCCTGGAGGTGGCAATTCCCAGTCAGGAATTCCCTGGAGATGGGAATTCCCAACTTTGCCCTTCGTTCCATTGGGATCGACTCGGGGTTTGCGTGGCATGAGGATGCTGGGGGTGAATTACGGAAGAATTTGGTAGGAATTGTCCCAGCTTGAGGGAAACATGAGAGGAATTTGAAGGGAATTAAGGGGAAATTCCCCATTTTGAGGGGAAGTTTGAGGGAATTGCCTCAATTTGGTGGGAATTGTTCCATTTTAAGGGGAATTTGGTGGGAATTGCCCTATTTTTGAGGGGATTTTGTTGAATTGCCCCAATTTTGAGGCAACTTTGGTAGGAATTGCCCCAATTTGAGGGGAATTTGGAATTTCCCGAATTTGAGGGAAATATGAGGAGAATTGAGCAGCACTCACCCCAATTTGAGTGACATTTGAGAGGAATCTGGTGGGAATCACCCCCATTTTGGGAACGACACCGCCTCTCCTTTATGAATTCCGGATAAATCCGCTGAGAACCTTCCGGCTTCTCAATCCCCCTTCCCCCAGGTTTTCATGGATTGGTACGAGAAATTCCAGGAGCGCCTCAACAAGAAGGTGGTGCTGCTCACCGGGGAGACCAGCACGGACCTGAAGCTGCTGGGAAAAGGGAACATCATCATCAGCACCCCGGAAAAGTGGGATATCCTCTCCCGCCGCTGGAAGCAGCGCAAGAACGTCCAGAACGTCAACCTGTTCATCGTGGATGAAGTGCACCTGATCGGGGGCGAGAACGGGGTGAGGATCCTGGGAGTGGCGTGGGGATGGGTCCAGCCCGCAACGGGAGGTTCCCAGTGGGATTCTGACTCGTTTTGGAGCAGGTTTTCCTGATGGGAATGGATCCTGTGGGGTGGGAGGTGTCCATGCCTTGGGAAGATCAGGAAGTGTTTCCATGGGGTGCCCTGGGTGGATCTCAGCCAGGAATAGTCCTGATCCCATTCCTGATCCTCCTCCTGATCCCATTCCTGATCCTCCTCCTGATCCCATTCCTGATCCTCCTCCTGATTCCATTCCTGATTCCACTCCTGATCCCATTCCTGATCCTCCTCCTGATCCCATTCCTGATCCTCTTCCTGATTCCACTCCTGATCCTGCTCCTGATCCCATTTCAGATGCTGTTCCTGATCCTCCTCCGAGTCCTACTCTTGATCTTGCTCCTGATCCCGTTCCTGATTCTCTTCCTGATCCCACTCCTGATCCTGCTCCTGATCCCATTTCTCATCCCACTCCTGCTTCCAATCCTGCTCCTGACTCTGATTCTGTTCCTGATCCCACCCCTGATCCCATTCCCAATCCCATTCCTGATCCCATTTTCCCCCACAGCCCGTGCTGGAGGTGATCTGCATACAGATCCCACTCCTGATCCCATTC